GGACATTTGGGAGGGGCCCTTGTATATGAAGAGCCACCACTGATTGTCAACTCCTGATGATATTATTAATGGAGAAAGGGACAGAGGCTCCACAGATTTCAACATGTTGCCATTCTTATAGCAAATGCTTCTATTAAGGCATCTTTGCTTCAGGATTCCCCTTTAAATTTCCAGCATTCCTTTCTTCCCGCATGGCCCAAAGGCTTCTTGTGCGGGAATAAGAAAAGAGTGTTGAACAAGCTATCAACCTTCCCCACGGAGTCCACCTACAAGGCTACAACCAAATAAACATAAAAAAAAAAAAACGTGTAAATGTTGGATACAAAAAAAAACAAGACACTAGTAGGTGAACCATAGTTTCCCAACCTGTTCTACAATAAAACATATGTCAGGAAATAAGTGTCTTAGGACTTTTCCTTTGCAAAGTTTCATAAGAGCCAATCTTGAAATGAACTACCTCCCAACAAAATACCCTAATTTTGGGAGGCACAGGTCCACCAAAAACTGCATCTACAAGGAAAGCACCCTAAAAAGGGGTATCACAGGTGAGCTTTAAAAAAAGAGACAAGAAAATCTGCCACTGCAATCGGCCGTCCAAATTCCGCTGTATGATTCAGAGACAAGAATAGAGATACTCTCTAAGGAAGAAATAAGAGATAAATCTTCAGATATTTCATAAACCCTTATACCCGTTCTGAAACCTAAGTCCCAAATAATACCATGACCCAATGAAGAAATACAATTGGAAATTAGTTTCTCTTTGCACACAGAAATGGAATAAAGAGCTGGAAATCTGTCCTTTAGAGGCAAATCCTCTTTTTTTTTTTGATAAATTTAGTGGCAAATCCTCCTCCCACCAAAGGACTTCCAAAAATTGAAAGAAAACAGGGAAGGAGACAACAACTTTCCAAAGGGAAGTGAAGGGCACTTAAGAATTCAACCCTGCATCCCTACCACTATCACCATTTTTTATTTTTCAGGACAAAATGAATTTATTAAGAAAATAAAAACCATAGAACTTCTACGCTCATTGTAAGAAGAATGTAGGGGAATAGCATAGCCAAGGGCTAATACAAGATAAACATGAGTACATCAGTAGATGGTCATCAAACTAAAACCCTTGTACAAGTGCCCTGGGCATGATGCACCCCAAACCTGATAGATCACCCTACCCCTTCCCTGGCAAGCAAGTCAGAGAGGTCATTGGAAGATCTTGGCACCCAGCTAAACAAGCTGTTCAAAACTTCAGCCAAGCAGCGAGGGACCTTGACTCCTAGTGAAGCAAGTATTGGATGGATTATCCTCAAGGCTAATGAGACCACATTTTGAGCTTTAGTGGACAAATAGGAGAGGCTGACAGCTGACTACACAAAAGAAGAACCTAAAGCCCTCCTAGTTGGACTCAGTTGATAAATCCCTCCAATCACATTGATAACAATTGAAGGAGATTCGAGAGATGATATCTTATGGTGTCAGAATGTGGATGATAGTACTTGATGTATGCCACATTTCCTCAGTGAAATTAGAGAAATCCCTTCTCAGATGATTGCCCACATTGGATGGACCCAAAGGAATCTTCATCCTATGGCTGACAGATTAGTTAAATCAGGGATGGAAGATCATTTTTGCATGGTAACAACACTATGTCTAGGTAGACTTTTGGTTGGGTTGTGTCTTTGCTTATTCTTTTTGAGGAAAGGTAACAAATATTCATTACCCAAAAAGGGTAAAGGATGTACATGAGATGATGTGCAAAGGGCCTTGCCAACCAAAAGCCGAAGAACAAAGCCCATTAATTAATTGACATTGTATTTGCACTGTACAATGAGTCCCTTCCCAACCCAGATTTAGCTAAACCATCGGCCAATTGATTCAATTGAATTCTCTGGGGATCCATCTGTAACAGCAAGACAAAAAGGTGGATAACTCTTGGATTTCAAGTAAAAAATAGGAGAGTTTCCAGGGGGCTGAATCATGAGAATTATCCTATTTTGTGGTAATTTTTTAGTCCTCTTCAACTACAAGGGAGCTGATCTGCTGGGATTTAGCAATTCTAAGGCCTTCAAGAAGAGCACTCTTGAGCACGAATCTCAGCTTCAGCTGCACCTGCCACTATAGTTGGTCTACTAGACACCCAAATCAAGCCACCATTTCAGTTGCACAAAAGGCCCCCAATTCCAGCTTCAGGAGGAGCATCTTGAACCTTGTTGAAGCTACCATCAAAGTTTAAAGTATAATCACTCTCCCATCTTGAGACAGTTGTTTTGAAGACAGATCTTCTTCCTTGGAGACTTTACAAGGTCAAATCCAAGGCCTGCTAAATATATGGACGGTGAACAGCAAGGCCTTGTTGGTTATAACCTAGATAACCAGCAGAGAAACTAGCCAGAAGTTATGCTTACTTTGCTTATCACTGTGCATTGCACTATCCTCTTACATACATTCCTTTTTTGCTTTTGTTCTTTATGAAGTTATTCTTTATAAAACCTATCAAACAAAAGTTATTCTTTATAAAAAAAGAGCAAAAAAGAAACGGCCTTTAGTTTGATTCTCTAATATTATGTGCAAGGAATTACCCTTCAACCACACACTCATGACTTCATAATCACCTTCAGCAATTAAAGCACATTCCATACCAAGTCCCAAGAAGAAAGMTAAATTTCTTATCTCACTGAGAGCTCCTAGGAAATCTCCTTCCCTAATTGGACCGTTTCCTGAAGTATCTCTAGGAACACTACCCACAACAAATAAGCCAGATTTAACAAAGAAGCAGTCATCAATATCAAGTTTTATTGCTTTCTGGGGCCATCCATGCTTGTATTGCCTGTCTCCTCTATGGTGCCTAACCAGTCACCACTTGTAAAGCTCTAACAATAGTCCATACAAACACCATTGATTTCTCTAGCAGAGATACAATAAGCAACACACTGCAACTACATCATGATGGCTATGACGTCATCCTTATTGCCAAAGATTTTTTAACTTCCATTTCAAACATTCCACAAAACTGCTGCCCTTGCAAAAGCTCAAGGAATAGTGACTCAAATAGCTCCAAAAGGATGTCTTAATTTTTCTTAAACTACCCTTGATTTAGATCTAAACTAATTAGCTTAATTCTCAAATAAATTTGATAGTTCGAATCAATCAATTCTGTTACAAGTGACCTCAGTCTGAAATCTTCATATTACTTACCGAACTTCCATAATAAATCATGTTCCTCAAAAAGTTAAACCCAGCCAAATTAAATAGCTATACTCTTCCCATTTTCCCCCCTTAGTAGAATATCCCCGAAGTTCCAAAAGTCCTAAACAAGATACCCCATACATGCTATTGCTAACTAAATTGCTACTGCATGATTTCTTGGATTTCTAAGAAACAGAAACTTTGTTCATTAACATGAAACTCCTACCACTAGGCCATTCTCTTTCTTTAGGTTTAAATCCTTTTATAAACTTCACATGTAAACAACACTTAGAGACAAATATATGGTAGGGTTCAGCTTTTCAGGTTGGACCATGATGCACAAGTCTTCAATTTAGCAATTAATTTTTATATTAGGTCGATATTCTCAACTTATCCCATCCAAACACCCATAGAATCTAACCCCACTAAACCCAAGTTGGGTGGAATCAGTCAGTTGGCCAAGTTGTATGCCTATCTCAATGCCCAATAGACTGGGGTTCCCAATCGAACAACCGCCAAAGTCAAGCTCAAATTCCACCTAGAAGGATATCTCTATTCACAAAAAGAATCAAAATGCCAAAAAAATCAATTAGGGGTGTAACACGGGTCTGGTTACTTGGTTAGTCCAAAGCCCCCAAAAGGTCAGGTTGGATTGGGTTGAAGGCCAGGTAAGGGTTTTGCTGAGTTAGGTTACAACAGTAGTTGTACTAGATACTTTTAATTATTCATTTTCAATAAACTATTATTCTACTTAACATAAAAGGGGTTGTGGGTTCAACAATTCAGATCAATTTAGGATTGACCTCAACCAGACCTAATCCAGCTGCATTTGCACCCCTGTATCACATAATAGCCCATTGTGATTTATGACAAGGAACTTATCAGAAAAAAACGGTTTCTGACATGGAACTACTTAGCTACCAGAGCCCAATCTAAAATTAGTAAAAGGACACTGCTACAATGTGATATGATAAGTGCAGCTTTTTGGTCAAACACCATCCACTCCTAACATCCAAAAACACAACAAAGAAGTGCATAGTTTTTTTTACTCTCGTACAAATGTGAATATGAGCCCATGAGCCTTTACTAGCCTAGCATTAGTCATAGCGATGCAATAATGCGCAGGCATTGATTACATTCACTTAGGCTCAGTTTTGGAAGAGTGCAAATCCAAATGTACAGTGCAAATACAAGGTTTAGAAATACCATATAGAAGGTTTTGCACTGAACATTTTGTATTTGCATTCTTCCAAAACTGAGCCTCAGGGTTTGTTTGTTTGAAGTGCAATTTCATTTGAACTAGTGCAAAAGTTTGGAAGTGTGTGCAAATGAGTTGAGTGCAAATTGTGATTTATTTTTTTTTTTTACTTTTACCTTATTTTGTTTGTTTGCAATGCAAATTAAGTAAAATAAACCTGAAACAAAGTAAAAGTATAATCCAAAACAAAATTCAATCAGAATTCACACTTTTTTCATTTGTATTCCCATGCATTTGAACTAGTGCAAATGAAATTGCACTACAAAAAATAAAAAGAAAAATAAAGAAAAACAGAGCCTTAAGTGCAATTGGGTAGTAGTAAAAATTGTAGCAGAACTAGCAACAGTTGAATGGGATGCACTACATCTCATTAACTGCACAACACATTAAGATCAAGTATCCTACTTATCCTTTCACAGAACACTCATATCAACTTCCAGCTTAAAATATTTCACTGGAAGCTGCTCCAAGGGGATAGATTTGGGATAGATTTAAGTAGAGAACAATAACCTAAAAGTAATTGAACAGAAAGAAGGAAATGAAAATATCAGTATAGTACCTGCAATTGACCATCTTCCCCACTGCAAGAAACAAAGACTTCTCCCAAACATCCCAAAAGCATGCCCAGTAGGTTCACTTCTTTCACAAGGTTTGGTGTTAGAGTCGACACTGTGAAAATTTGCACAGAGAAAACTGCTAACAATGGATACTTCACAAGAACAGTATCACTACACTCTTTTACAGCTTCATTGATGATGGCAGGATAGTAATTAATAAATACTTTGGCAAACTCATACTTAAAATTGGGTTCACCCAGTAATTTCAAGAGTAATTCATGGAGCTTCTTGACAACTGATTCGTCATCCAAGAACCTCTCCGCCCTCACCAGAACATCCAACAAACCAACCAATGAGAACACTCTCTTGGAAACAAAACCAAGTAAGCTTTCACTGTACTTGCAAAATTCAAGAAGCATCTCAACTATCGCTAATGTTAACTCATTTCCAAACATTTTGCAAACATCAACATGACCACCTACCCTAGGAGTTCCCTGGAGAGAAGCTTCCCCACTGAGTAGCTTATCTTTCCAACACAAGAGAAGCGCATCCAGGATAGGCCCAGCAGAATTTGCAATCTCCTCTGGGACAGGTTGAATCTGTTCAGTGCCTTTATGCTTTGAACAAAAGCCCTCTCGCTTCCATGCAGTCACATCACCACAATCACAGCACCCACCACCAGTGTAGATGATAGAATAATCATGGTCTTTGTGGTTCCCATTCTGGAAACAAGGAACACATATTGCACATGTAGGGTCGTTCTCACAGGTTCGGCAGCGGTATGCTATATCATTTTGCCCCCAAACAGCCCCACATACCCCACGCTGGCCACTGCTCATGTTTGCCAGACTCTCTAGGGAGGAATGCGGTTCACCCTCAAACATTAACCACTGCAGCCATGACATGCTTTCTTGGAATTGATTTTTAATGCTGGAACCCCTCGAAGCTTCTCCAGCCTTGGTTTTAGATTCCGATAAAGCTTCCACTACTTTTACATCAGAAGGTAATATAGCATTTACCAGTTCAGTTATGTAGGACTTGTTCACCTTCACCAAGGCAACTAACCCTGGCTGGAGTTGATCTAGTTGCTCGGCAGGAACTCCACACCTTAGAAGTCTCTGGTATCACATATTTAAACAGGCAGTAAGGTCTTATACACACAGAATGCAGTTGCTATAAATGTGCTTAAATTTCTAAAGAACAGAATACAAATAGATATTAATTGAAGCCCCAAAACAACAAATAATCCTCTAAAATTATTGTAGCGTTATAAAGAGAAAACCAAACTATAATAAACAAAAATTCAACAGAAAATCTACCCGATGAGAAGACGCAATTTTAAGAAAAATCATAGAAAAAGCAATGATCGAAGCTGGTGTACAGGTAAAAGTTCTATAATTTAAATAGATCAAAGGGGAAAAAAAAAAGTTAAAGAAAAAATCCTTTAGTTGTACAAGAAATAATAGTAACAGACAACGCAAACATGGAACTCGAAATTCAGAACCCAAAAGGCTTTTCTAAAGGAAGTCCACATCGATTAACAGCAAAAATAATAATACACGATTAAAGACACAACATTCAACTCTAGGTCGGCATCAAAATGCACAAGTGAGACGAAGAATCAATCCGAAGGCTCTACCTGTAGAATTCGATCCTGCGGAGACAAGTAATTAGGCTCCATCGGGGAATCGACCTCCATTCCAGACAGGAAAGGCAGCCAATCGACGCAACTCCAGTATCTGAATCTTGAGTTTCCACGCCCCAGCGTTGCAGAAATAGAGTTAGTAAACCAGGAATTTGATACTGTCGTCGAAATCCCTACTTATTCCTAGGGTTTATGTGCCTGAAATCCGCCATGAACCCCAATCCTTTGGGTTCCCACATGATACACCAATAACACCGACTCAGAGATAAATCTAAAACTTGTAGTCTTATACGACTCACTGACAACTTTCAATGATGATAGTTTTGTACGCTTATATTCCTCTAAATTTACCTAGGCAAATTTCCGGATTTACCCTGCCTGCAGTGTTTATTCATGAAGGTTCTCACTTGGTCAAACCAACGTTGACAAGAAAGAGACACCTCTATGGATTAAAAAAGAACGAAAAAAAGAAGACACCTCCATGTAATATGTACTGAGTGACATATCATCTTGTACGGAAGGTCAGGACCCACAACTGGCCACGTATAAAAGACAAAAAAATAACTTGACGGTTACCCCTTCGCAACGATGCTCGTTTTCACCGTCTCAATGAGATTGATAATTTGACTATTATGTGACATGCTTGCTCCGTTTGCTCGTTTGGATGGTTTTCCGCGGTTTTGAAGAGTTAAAATGGAAATGGGATTCGGTTAGTGCAAAGCCGGTTCAAACAATCATGCATTCCGAATATCTCCCATTAAATAAAGCATAGAACTACGGAGATGTTCCCCATGCAAGCAGGCTGTTCGAACAAACGGGTCTTGTATTTATTGAAGCCGAACTCGTTAAAATGTCGTAGTTTGAGAGGGCTTTTACACAATAACATTGCAATTAGGAGTAGATTCGAGACGAGCCGAATTGAGTTCGAGTTCGAATTCGATTTGAGGAAAAATATTTTATAAAAATAAAAATTTATAAAAATATTTTTTATTTGATATTTAAAAAATTAAGAATTATAATATTTTTATTATATATTATTCTCTCTCTATAATATATATATATATATATATATTCGAGCTCGGCTTGCGTGCCTCACGACTCGAGCTCGACTCGTTTATTAATTGAGCTTGTGAATTAGGCTCGAGCTCGACTCGTTTATTAATCAAGCTTGTGAATTGGGTTCGAACTCGGCTTGAAGCTCGATTGAAAATGAGCCAAGCCGAGCTTGAGCAACTCATGAAAAGCTCGGCTCGTTACCACCCCTAAATGCAATGTAGGCTTACAAAAAGCTATGAAGCTATGTTTGTTAGGCACCCAATTGATATGGTTTTGTCTATCAGTCGTATTAAAGAATTGACTCCAATAAATTGGTAGTTGCCAAACGTGATTCTGTTATAGGAATTAGATTGTTGTGTCAAATACTTTTTGGTGATTCTCTAGAAGAAAATTTTCACAATTTATTCTTTTTTGAAATGATTTTGAGAGTGAGAATCTCGAGAATTGATGCCAAATGGGGCAAATCCATTAAAAAAAAATGCTTACATAATTGAGATGAGTAACCGACTTTTCAATACAGCTAGTTTTGATAGCTTCTTTGAACTAGCTTACCGCTTGTTTGGGAGGGCTTTTAGGATATGACTTTTGGCCTTTCAAGTTGGGCCTCATATAGGAATGTCAAAAGTTGTATTTGGTAAAAATCCAAAAAACGAATATGAGCTTTAAGAACGCCCAAACCATAGTTCAAATATAAAACTACTTTAAGGCCTCGTTCGCTTTTCAATAAGTTATTTACCTAGGTAAATGCACTTACCTAGGTAAGTGTTTCGCAGGAAAAACTTATCCGGATAAGTGCATTTATCCATGTTCTTTTATTTCCCTGGTAAATAAGGCAATAACCATTTTAGCCATAAAAATTTATTATTAAAAGGGACATTTTTGTCCCATTCAAATGTTAGTGACTTTCCTCCTAGGTGGGAAAGTTATTTACCCACCTAGGAGATGGGTAGATACCCAGGAAAATAAACTTTCCCTAGTCCCAACATAAATCTGAAAAATGAACATGAGTTTCTTGGTCAATGATAATCAAAATCCCATTGACCAACTTTCCCCCTCTCAAAATCCAAGAAAATAATGCCCCCTAAGTAGTTTTCCAGAACACTAATGCTCAACTACTCTTGAAGGAGATTCAATAGTGGTTATTGGTAGCTTACAGGGAAGAATGGTCCCACCATTGAACATCAAAACTCTAATCAAGGACCGTTATGATGTCTGATAAAAAGAATGAGTCGACGATTGAATACAGATAAAACCTCAAAGAAATAATGATTTGGATTGGTTAGCAAAGAAGGGTCACTCTGTGTCTATTTCATCTCTAGGTTTTAGATGTAATAGTTTGTCTAAAGGTTTTTAAAATCGGACTGGATATGGAATTGTTCTGGGGATCGAGTCCTAGGTCAAACGATCTAATCGTTCGATTCGAATAAGTGGTTTTTTTTTACTTAAAAATTTTCAAAATAAATAAAAAATAAAAAACAACCAAAAATCATTGTTTGGGTTGACAGTTTGACTACCTGGGTTAGCGAGTCGCTACCAATAGTTTTGGCCAAAAAGTAGTTTTGGGGTGAAATGAAACCGATTCCCGATTTTTTCCAGTCTGATCCAGTTTTTAAAACCATGGTTTGGCTTATATCTACTTCGCTATGCCTGGGGAGATTCTCCCTAAGGGGTTCTTAATCTTCCAATTATTATAAAAAAAGCCCTTTCCAAACGAGCACTAAACCTTTGACCAGTTAAAGTTTAGTTATCTTATTTAAAAAGAAAAAATCAAAATGAAATATCACACCACCAAACCTCATTATCCTCCAACACCCGTATCTTTGAGGGATGAGTAGGGGTGAGCAAGAAAAATTGAAAAAATCAAAAAACCAAACCGAACCGATGAACCCAAACTAAAAATCCTTGTTAACCGAAATGATCAATTCATTTTTGATTATGCATTTTTTAAAAATTGACAATTAATCAAATCGACCGTATGCATATATTTCTATATATCTTATGTCTATATATGTATGTTACATATATATTTTAGATTTTTTATATATTATAAATTAATAAATATACATTATATATAAATATATATTTATAATATATAATATATTATTTATTATTTAAAATATAATATTATATATATATACATATATATACATAGTTATGTATATATGTATGTATTTCTAATTTTTTATTATATATTTATATAATATATACTATAAATATAAAAAACCAAAAAGCGACGAATTAAACCAACAACTAACTGAACAAGTCAACTGATTGGCTTTGTTTCAATTCGATTACCGACAACCCTAGTTCTATTTAAAGAATAGGCCCACGGTTTAATTAAACGAAGAGCACCCCTATTAATGAGTGAACTGCACTACCAATGACCTAATAGAGGGTGGCTTCAAGTTTTCGATAAAGGAACTCCGTGCAATATTTGTAGGATAGGACAAAGAAATGTGCATGTCTATCAAGTATCACCCACTTATGGAAATATATATCCAATATTACCTATTTTATAAGCACCAACAATCTCACTCATCGCTCAAAAGCCACTCAAAGTAATATTGGCCAAGCAAAGATTTCATGCTTCATGGCAATAGAATATTTATTACAAGGGTCGGTGACAATTACCCCCTAGCGATAAAGACTCTCCTAAAAGTTGTTAAGTCAGATGATGGAATACGTTAAATTATTAAAATATCCATATAAATTGCCATATTTTTTTTTTCATTATTTTTTTCTCTCAAACTTTGATTGACCCAAAAATACATTTTCTCCATACAAACCCAACTAAATTAACAAGAATCATTTTACTAATAAAAAAATAAGTTTCTTTAAATCATTGTTTGATTTCACTAACATGAATGTCTCTTTTTATCTTAAAGCATAAAAAATATCCACTCCTTTCTCCAATAAATAAAGAAAAACCAAATGAAACCTTTAAATTTATATTTATTAGAAAGAAATCTCTACCATTTCATTTGAATATTGAATTTAGCCAATAATCTGTAAGGGTTTATTAGAGCAATTGAGAGGACTTCAATATTATATTTAGAAAACTAATCAAACCACAAATCATTCAAATAAATAAGAAAGGGTAGTTTAGGAATTTAAAAAATAAACAGTTGAATGAAAATCCTTTAGAAAGTTAACTGATGAAACTATAACGGAAGGAGGTATTTATCACAAAGTGAAAGTTTAAAGGGTCTTTATCGTAAATAAAAGTTCAGGGGTAATTTTCATGGACCCCATAGTACAAAGGGATCTCTATAATTTACCGTTAATTATATGCAACTAAACTTCTTAGGGTCAAAACATCAAAAAATATTTTCACTTTTCTCAAATTGAAACCTATTTGAGAATAAAACAAAAACCATAAATTTGACCAAATACGATTGGATTTGCATAAGCTCAAAAGGGAGTCAAGTTATTGGGGTGGGGGTTAAGGACCCCCAGACTTTTTGTAAAAACTGTTTATTACTATTTCATTAGTAAGGCCCAAGGGTGAATCCACGTAATAAGGTGGGGTTCTNCCATCCGCCCAAATTTTTGTAGTTGAGTTTGATTATGATGCTGAAAATACATCTTATACTAAAAAAAACTTAAAAACTTATAATCAATCAACCAGTATCATAAAAATGGTAGTCAATTAAGAGATATTTTATCAAAATTCACAAGGGTCTTGATTGGTCGAAGCCCTTTCGGTATATCATGTCTTCTTGGCATTACAATTTTTTCCTTTTGTGATTTTGTACTTTTGTTAGACTTAGGAAAAAAAGGTTTTTGACAATCACCTACTAACTAAGCAAATAGTAAAAAAAGGTTTTTTACAATTTGTGACTTATTTAATGTATCAATGGTTCAATAATTGTTTATTGTTAAAATATTTTTAAGATTACTTCTATGAAGTCTAAGTTAATTAATAAATAACTAGTAACTAAGCAACTAGTAAGTATCATATAGAATTTATTTCTACAATACAACCTATGTAGTCTGAACTACAGAAGAAAAGTTGTATAAAAAAGAAGATGGGATCAAATGAATGTACCTTAGCTACTTAGAAAGCACATGTAATGTAATTCAATAGTGAAAATCACAAAATATAAATTATTGGAGCTCAAAATTGCAAATTCCTATAAAAAATAACAAATTGAGACTTAGAAGAGTGTTCTTTATTTCATAATTCATATTCAACTTAAAAGATGAATTAATAAGAACTTTCAATCATAAGAAACTAAGATATAGTTCCAAAAAGAAAGAACTTTCACATTAGGCTG